CTTTAAGACTTTTGAATGAATCATTTAAAGCCAAAACTCACTTCATAAGGAATTTGAAAACTTAACTGAAAAAAGATTAACCCAAATAGCCTCAAAATCGGGAAATGCACTGATTTAAAATCCAAGTTAAGCGCCAAATCTCTCCTTTCATTGAAGCCATGATAAGCCAACAAAGCGCGCGTTCATCGGCATTATCATTGTTCAAGGTTTTTATTCAAATTCTAAACTAAATCAACTTTAATCTTAACGCCATTATCTTCGAGAGAAAAAAGAAAAACCAAGACCGGAATCGAACCCGGGGCCAACCCTGATCCGGTCGAACTGACAGACCGTCGCACTATCCACTAGGCCACCGCTACCGATAACCAGCCCGTTAAAAGCCGCCCTTTAAACTTTATCTTTGAAGCTTAAAGCTTAAAGCTTTCAAAGAAATTTCAGTTCAATCTTTACACGAACTCTTCTTTGCATATACTTTGAGCCTAACGGTGTAAACACACCCCTTCTGGTACACTAAGATTTTGCGAGCCTCACTTCAAAGGGTCGTTAAGAATCAGTTGCTTCAGATAAAATGTTTTTCCAATGAGCACAAAGTACACAAATAAAGACTTGTTGTTTAGTTGTTGTTTAGTTGTGCTGTTTAGTGCTGTCTAGTTGCTTAGTTGCTTAGTTGTTTAGTTGTTTAGTTGTTTAGTTGTTTAGTTGTTTAGTTGTTTTGTTGTTTAGTTGTTTAGTTGTTTAGTTGTTTAGTTGTTTAGTTGTTTAGTTGTTTAGTGCTGTTTAGTTGTTTTGTTGTTTTGTTGTTTAGTTGTTTTGTTGTTTAGTTGTTTAGTTGTTTAGTTGTTTTGTTGTTTTGTTGTTTAGTTGTTTAGTTGTTTAGTTGTTTAGTTGTTTAGTTGTTTTGTTGTTTTGTTGTTTAGTTGTTTAGTTGTTTAGTTGTTTAGTTGTTTAGTTGTTTAGTTGTTTTGTTGTTTAGTTGTTTATTGCTGCTAAGTGCTGTCTAGTTGTCTAGTTGTTTAGTTGTTTAGTTGTTTAGTTGTTTAGTTGTTTAGTTGTGCTGTTTAGTTGTTTAGTTGTTTAGTTGTTTGGTTGTTTAGTTGTTTAAAGTTTAAAAGCATCTATAGCAAAAAAAATCTGCAATAAAGAAATTAAAGACATCAAAGAAATCAATGAATCAGAGTCAAATCAAAAATCGATTTCAATCGTTTTCGATTTGAGAAAGAGAGAAATTGGGAATTTATGGAAATCCCTTTTCTTTAGAGAAATTGGGGGAAAAGCGCGGTGATTTGAATGGGAAAATTTCGAGAACACACTCAAATTCGATCATTTTCTTTTCCTTTTTGAAGCATATTCGTATTAAAAGCACAAAAAAGCACAAAAACATAAAAACATCCAAAAAAAAGAAATCGACGAGCCCTCAAGTCTCTTTTCTATTTTATTCTTTTAGAGATATGATATTTTCCTTTTAGCTTAACTGTTTACTGTTTTAAAGCGCATTGAAAGATCAGAATTTACACCAATACAGAAGAAAAGGTGTGATTATTGCGATGAGGCTCTCATCGCAATAATCACAACGCAATAACAGACTTTGCCACCATTTCTCTTATACTAAACAACAGTTTTTAGGCTTTTAAAGGCTTTTAGACCATCGTCTAGCCAAATCAAGGGCTAGATTTTGATACCAGACTCGCAGAAAGTTGGGCAATTCTATTCAGTCTCTATTCAGCGAAATCTTCATCGTTCCCTAGCTGTGCTCCTCTCAAATAAACCGTTTTCTAAAATGTGTTAACTTTCAAAAGCTACCGTAATCTTGTTCTACGTCTGTTTCTATGCAAATTAGTAGATTAGTAGATTTAGTAGCTACCGTAATTCAAAAGCTACCGTAATCATGATTTATTTAAATCTACTTTTAAATAAATCAAGATTATTGTAATTTTCAAAAGTTTACATATTTTAGAAAACGCAAAGGATCACGCTTTTTACCTTAGGATTTGTAGTAGAGATTTGATTGAGAGACATTCGAGATCTTTACAGTAAAAGTAAAAGTAAAAGGCTTTACAGTAAAAGCTAGAGACAAGATTACGATGATTTTTTTGAAAAGTTTTCAAAGTTCAAAGTTCAAAGCTCAAAATTCAAGAAAAAACACTCTAATAAAAGAAAAATGAATTAATATCAATATTTAATTTCGAAAGAGAGCTGAGAAAGTGCTGAATGCAAAAAAAAGTCATCAAAATCGAGTGAAAAGACCTTGAAGACACGCGACGGTCACACTTTAGCGGATGAAAAGAAAACAAAGAGAAGAAAAATAGGGGAAGCTTGAGGCGAAAACTAGATCAGACAAGGAAAAGAAAGAGAAAAATTGGAAAAACTAGAAAAACTTGAAAAACTTTGTCTCTAACAAAAAGCCTTGTCTCTTTTACATGACAAGTAGAAAATGCGGAGCGGATAACGAAAAAGTTGAAAGGAAATAATCAAATAATGTTATATTGTCAGAGATAAATGATCTCTTTGTAAACTTTTTAATGAAAAGCTTAATGAAAAGCTAAAGTTATAAGACTTGAAAGCAGATATTCAGCCGACAAAATGGTTCCTCTCAAATTATGCATTCTCTAAAACATTGACAACTTTGACAGCTTGAATTGAGTAGGAAGTCTAAAAATGATTCAAGAAGCATCATTTTTAGCACAAGCTAAGCTTGTGCTCTTGTTTAAGCACAGCTTCTAATATATTTGTACACCGTATTTCCTCTAATAAGCTCCGCCCCTCGACCAACTTTGAACGCGCTTCGTTCTCAGTCCCATTTTGCGATATTTTTATGTTTAATACACAAAAAGATAGAAGACATTGAGGGCTATCTTTTGGTATACTAAGCATAAAAATAGCTCAAAATGGGACTGAAAATGAGGTGTCTAAAGTTGGTCGAGGGTCGAATCTAATAAGCGCCTCCCTCGACCTACTTTGGACGCTTCTTTCTTAGCCCCATTTTAAGATATTTTTGTGTTTAATATACCAAACGATAACCCTTAATGTCTTCTATCTTTTCGTATATTAAATATAAAATTCTTTCAAAATGGGGCTGAGAGCGAGGCGTCTAAACTCGAAGGCTTCTTCTAAACCTCCTTGACCGACTTTAGACGCCTTGTTCTCAGCCCCATTTTGAGCTATTTTTATGTTTAATATACCAAAAGGTAACCCTAAATGTCTTCTATCTTTTGATACATTAAACATAAAAATAGCTCAAAATGGGGCTGAGAACAAGGCGTCTAAAGTTGGTCGAAGGGGGGCGTTTATTAGAGGAAATACGGTATATATTAAAAGCTGTCTGTCTGTCCGTCTGTCTGTCCGAGGCTTTTATTCGGGGAATTGAGCTAGAAATGGGAGTTAAAAACGTTAAAAAAAATCGCTGTTTCCGAATCTGAGATCCCGTTTGTAAAAAGCTTCATTTCCCGCCGAGTTATTCACCTTTAAAATTTACAATGGCCGCCAAATTTGCATTTAACAGCGGGAATTTAATGCAAATTTTAATCAAAGCAGCCGCTTTTCTCGATCTCTCGATATAGCCACTGCACTAGCTCAAAAAAAAAGTCACCCACTGTGAGCCACCACCGATCTCAGCCTCTCTTTTCTTGCTCTTGCTCTCAGCCTTTCTTTTCTTGCTCTTCTTTTCCCGATCCACACCACCATTTCTCGTTTCTAATCGATGATCAGATTATTGGATTATTCAATCATAAATCTTCCATGTTTTCCCCGAAAAAACCGCTTCTTTCAGCTAATAAATTTCATTATGCAATCACAAATCAACGGAAATTCAATTAGCTAACTTCAAGAGATAACTCAAAGCTAATGTGGTACATCAAAAGCTAATGTACATCAAAAGCTAATGTACAATGGTACATCAAAAGTTGCTTATGTAAAGTTTTCAAATCAAAACTTGCTTTTAAGACTAGAGCTTTTTTTGGGGGGAAAAGAGTTTTGTTCAAAGAACTAATAAATATGGAAATCAGCCTTGATTCGGCATTTGGATTTTGCATTTTTAATAGGTGAATAGTTTTAGTTTTAAATGAAATACCTTTGAAATGAAATGCCTGATCTCATCTTCAAAGACGAAAAGCTTGGCTTATTTATCGGTTAGAAAACAAGTCTAGCTTTTTTTGTTTACTAACGCCAAATAGATCAAAGATGAAAAGTGCTCACTGATCGAAGCTCAACGGTTCAAAGTTCCAATAAATTACCATGATTTCAAAAATTTCAAAAACCTTTCTGGCTCATTAGCGGAGATAATTTTTGCGAGAACGTGATTTGAACTAAAAATACAAATAAAGAAAAGAAGAAAAGAAAACACCGCTGAGAAGGGGAGCCACACCCATTTCCCCCATTCAGCTCAAATCAAAAGAGACGGCTCTCCCCAATTTAGAGAGTGACGATCAGCCTTTAGAAAAAGAAAAGATTCCAGGCAAGGGCGGCAACCATTAGACACACAAGCAACTCGAATCGTCATCGCCCATTAAAACCTCCGTCTCAAATAGGAAAAGAGTCGAAAAAAGATAAAATGAACCGCTGTTCAAATCGAATTTTTCAACCTTAATGGATCCGAACTTTCTTGCAAGCCAACTGGTCGACTTCTAAAATTGCTTTCATCAACTTTGCTATTTTAAGTTGAAGATACCAAAAATTTGTCTTTACCAAGTGTTCAACTAAACAAAGCTTTACTAAAAAGAATAACAAAACAACCGAAAATTTAATCACAATGCAAGAGAAAAAGAGAACAAAAACAATTGGCACAACAATTATCCAAAAGAACCGAAATCCTTTCCACCATTTTATGGAAAGACCAATTATAGCTGTTTATATGTTAAGAAAATCAAAGCACAATACTACCCTAATGCCGGAGACCCAGATAATTTAAGGAGTGCGCAGATCGAAAGAGAAAACACAGGTAAAACAATAATAAACATCACATAAGGGAGTGATAAACTAGAAAACGGGAAAGTTGTGAACACCTAATTTTTCTTCTTTTCCTCGGCTGATTGCTCAGGTTGCTCAGGTTGCTCTGGTTGCTCAGGTTGCTCTTGTTGAGATCCTTCAACGGCCTTCTGTTCTTCACCTTCTGCTGCAGGGATGCCGGTTGGGTGTTCTCCCGAAGTTCCATACTCGTTGGCTCGCTTTGGATCCACACGGTAGGCCCATCTAAAAAGGAAACTTTTGGGATTTTATAAATGAATATTAATTGACCATGACACTAGAGTAATTATATGCAAACTGCAACTTGCCTTTGATACAAGTAAACGAGGAAAACAATGTCATCACGGAAGCAACCAATTCGATACAGCGTCGGCATCCGAATTACAAACGCAAAGAGGTCGTCGATGAATGTGTTGATGAACCTGAAATTTATTCGTTAGTAAAAGGCAAAAACAACAACCTATTAATTAATACAGGGTGCGGCAGGATTACCTGAACTCGTACTTTAGCGCCTCATCTAGCGCGCAATGGGTTAAACTGTCTAATTCTTTTTGCCAATACAATTTGATACTTTTTAACATAGAGAGAAACCTATTCGATAACAGGAAATGCTTTCTAAAAATATTAACAGCCCTTCCAGTCAGCCAAAGCTTCCGGCCGAATGGTTAGCTTTTTAGCAACCTTTCACTAATTATCAAAGAAATTTTGAAAAAGATGTTTTTACTTTGATTTGTTTACATATTTGAAATGTTTTTTTAGCTGTAACTAAAAAAGTTATGCGGTTTTTTTTAAATTTTGCTTGAGTTCAGAGGGTTGAGAACGTTAGGTGAAAGTCTTTTAATACATTACAAAAATGGTTCTATGATAGGAAGCCTATAAATTTCAGTAGTTTTAGCTTTATAAAGTTTTCTTAAAAAAAATTTGACAAAACTTTCTTTTGGCCAGGCAACAAGCGTTATTTTCTTATTCGAGTCCGAGTAATCCTGCCGCACCGAGTACTTTAACACAACATATTGGCTTTACGAGTGCTAAAAAATAAAACGAGTCTTACTTGTAAGTGAGCATCCTCCATGGTAAATGAGCAACAGATCTAAAATGAAAACTTAAGATCAAGTTCTAAAAGTTTCAAATTCACTTCAGCTTGTAATTGATGAACAATTGTGGCGTCATGGTGATAAATCCGAATGTGAGCAAGAATCCGTAGAGCATCGACAATACAAAACTATACCAACCCTAAAGAATTCCTTTTTAAAGATTTAAAATAGAAATTTTACTTTATGCTCATTGTACATCATCGAATAAACGGCATAGCCTCCAAGCAATGGGAAGAGTGCCCAAGAAAGATATCTAAATTAGGTAGTAAGCTTAATACATTGGCACTCATAAGCTCGCCCAAATAATCGTAAATAACTCACTTGAAAGCCATTTGATCATAGACCTTTGTGTCACTTTCCACATAAGAACCCTTGTCCGAGAAAGAAACACGAGGAATGATTCCGAAGAGTTTATTCTCATAATCGACATTCACATTCATCACCTAAAACAATTTTTTTTTATTAACAAGACTAAAAAATAATCATCTTACCCTATAACTAATTAATTTAAAGCAAGCAATATAGCAAGTTTAAGTCTGTAAACACACCTTCGGGATCTTCCAGCCTTCAATTAGCAATCCAACAAAGACCGAGCACTTGACGACAAAATTGGTGTCATTGTCACAAATGTAAAGGAAAACGATGACAGACTAAAGATGAGCTTTATATTGAAAACACTCTAAAACCATACCTGGAAAATGTTGAACAAAACTGAGCGAACAGACAACCCCTCAAGCGATTTCCGGGATCGCCAGAACTGGATATCATTCTAAAGAAACGCTTTATGAATATTGCTAAATAAATTCGATACCTTGAAAGCCAAAAATTCAAAAACAGTGTGAAGCAATGAGACGACAGCTGTAACAGTCAGCAGAATTGGAGACGTCTCGAGTAAAGCCTAAATTGCAAAATGAGTAGCTAAAGATATAACTTGCTACATTCCTTATCAAACCAACCTGTTTAATTTGATCTTGATCGTCGTCAGGTGCATCCTCGAAGAAATCTCCCGACAGCATGCCGCTCCATTTGTTACGCATCTAAAAAGTGATCGATTAGCCTTGAACTCCACATATCCAGTTCATTTAATTCATAAGTTGAAAATTCGTACCTGTTGACTAGCGTAGAGTTGGTATTTGAAAAGTGACATCGGGGAGAACGTGAGCGTCAAATTTACTTCTTTCACAGTCTCGTTGATAGGCTAAATGAAAAAATGTCATTCCGTCACTTACAATTGGTCAATTGGAATAGAATGTGAGCCCACATTAAATTACAAGCCAATCAACATTAACTACCTGATATTCCGATCCTAGATTCCAGTAATTGTTGAAGAAGAGAATGGGCTTGTACTGCGTTCCAGACGGGTCGAATTGAACTGCTTCATCGAGTGGTGCCGGCAGTGATCCCTTTGTCCAAGCTGTTTGATCATCGACAATGTTGATCGTCAAGTTTGGATGCCAGAAGTTGAGTACCTAAAAATATATATATATTTCAATTACTTAGATCAAATATTGGCTATAGCTTCTTTTTGTTAGCCGGGTTAACCCGTTAGACAGATTAGTTTCTAAATCTCTTACCTCATATTTCATGACATCGGCTTTCGCAAGCTCTTCATCGCTCTTCTCAGACTTTCCCGTCAAAAGATTAGCAGTCTTCTTGTAGAATTTCTTTTTGTACTTGTTGAGTTGCTGCCTTCCGTAGACCACCTCGCGTTTCACATGATCTCTCGATTGTGGGTTCGGACTTTGACCAGACTAAACATAAAAACCTTTATCAGAGTGCTCAAACACATTCAAATTTGTCTTTCCATTTAATTAGAATAGGCAACCAGCTAACTAAATTGCAAATAGAACACCTTAACAACGAAGACGTGTAGATAAAGTGATGCGTTTCTCGTTAAAGGCTCAGGTGTCGGTATCGTTTTCGCGAACAAATAATTTCCATCCTAAAATCAAATGTTGTTTGTAAACAAAGTTTAGGTTACATTTTCCGGACCGCCACTCCAATCTCCGTACTGTAATCCTTCCTCTTTCCACAACGGGGCTTCATTGAACGAGTCGAACCGGGAATCATCCTCACTAAATCAATATTTTAGTGTATCAAATGACAAAAAGCTTACCCAAGATAAAAGTATAAATCGTATAGTTGTCCAACGGAGAACATGTTCTTTGCGGGAGGGAAGCGAGAAGTAGGCGCCGTCGAGTTGCCCGAGTTCTGTCCGCCACCTAAAAGATAACAATAAATTTGCAACACAAGTTTAAAGAAAATTATAATACCCAAACTTACCAGTAAATCCTTTCATAAGCGTGGTGATGAAATAGAAGATCATCATGTTTCGCACCATTCCCTTAACCACCGCCCAGACTCCACCCTAAAAACAAAATTGATGACGGACTTGTAAAGTTTGCAATAGCTGAAACGTTTTTAAACATTCCTTAGAAGCTAGGCTATTTGTCACGCACGATTTCAGCTCAAGAACAACACTTCAAACAAATTGAAACTTATAAACGAAGCTTCTGCTCCAAATTTACATCATTCTACAGCTTATCAACAAATTTTCAAGGTTCTTAAGGCCAAAAATCGTAAGTAGTTTTAAGTATCATCGTAATTACTAAGTATCATCGTAATTTGGCTGTCTTCACACTAATTCCGATAAAACTTTAGCATAGCGACAAGAATTCGGCAAAATATGACAACTTCTTGAACAGCTCAATAAAAACTTGGGTACTTTGGTGGTTGGGAGGGGCCACTTTTATCCTGGCTTAGTCGGATCTAACGTTTGAGTGGTTGTATTGATACATTTTATCTACCTATTCCAGTGTAATCATTTATGCTTATACTTTTAGAACATTTAAAACATGTTTGAAGTTTCATATTGCCGCTTTTACTTGATTTTTAAGTGCAAGCAGCTTTGAGGTAGCGTTTGGCGGCTAAAGTGCATGAGATTAGGCTAGAATTGCCAAAACTTTGCTAAAATAGTCACCAATTAAGCATATTTGATTCCCTAAAATAGATAAAAGTTATCAATACAACCACTCGAAACATTCGATCCAACTAAGCCAGGAGAAAAGTGGTCCCTTCCAGCCATCAAAGTACCAAAACTTGTTCACCTCTTGCGGCGGTTGGGCTCCATCTGCACCAGCATTCGCCGCTGGGGCTACTTGATCAGCCATCAAAGTTGTTTGATAGCTCTAAAGAATGAATTAATCAACTGAATCTTGAAGACGAATAGGATCAAAATAAAACAAAAGAAAGAAAGAATAAAGGTGAAAATAAAGTTTGATTAGCTGGCCGAAGTGAAATCGAAAAAAACGAAAGGCACGCTGTGCTGGAGAAATTTAAGAAATTCAGCTTATCAGTTGAATAATTAAGTCAATGAAGAGATTTTCCGACTAATTTCGATAAAATTTTAGCATAACAAAAGGAATTCGACAGGAATTTAATTTTCCGATTCAGTAAAGAGATTTTGCTACTGGTTGGAAGGGACCACTTTGATCCTGGCTTAGTTGGATCGAATGTTTCGAGTGGTTGTATTGATACCTTTAATCTTTTCTTAGGTAATAAAATATGCTTAATAGATTGGTGACAATTTTAGCAAGTTTTTGGCAATTCTAGCCTAATCTCATGTACTTTAACCATCAAACGCTACCGCAAAGCTGCTTACACTTGAAAATCAAATAAAAGCGGCAATATACAACTTAGAACATGTTGTAAATGCTCTAAAAGTATAAGCATAATTGATTGCTCTAGAATAGGTAGATAAGAGGTATCAATACAACCACTCAAAACATTAGATCCAACTAAGCCAGGATAAAAGTGGCTCCTCCCAACCAAAGTACCGAGATTTTTAAATGCTCTCAAATTTAAATTCACATTTATAAATCCTATAAAGCCAAAATGATTTCAATTCAATGATTTTACTGTTTAACAACAAAACGACGGTTAAGACCTTGGTTTTATATAATAGAATAAGAATAATAATATATACCAACTGGGGTTACCAGTGGCAGGTTTATTGCTAAAATAAAATTCCTAAATATGACAATAAATCTTTATTTCTCGTGAGAGATTTCCATTTCCCAAGACCAGACAAGGGAAAAAGGACCAATCTGACCGAAAAGTAAGCACTCTGGAATTGGGTGATGTTCAGAGTTTTTCCGGGTCTCACCACGCTTTTCTGCCTACGACACCAAGCCCTGCAGCTGGGCGATTTAATCGGCTAACTTGCTAGCAAGGAAATTTGCATACAATTTTTAGATAATTCTTTGTATTAATGCTACTATCAAAAATTTTACGTAGATACCGTAGTTTTTGGAAAACTTACTGTAAAGTTAAAGTCTTTTACCAATTTTACGTCAAAATCCACTAATTTGAATGTCAATTGCTCTTCTAACATTTAGCATATAACCATGAAAATTTCATCGTTTTCAGATTCGGGTAGTTGCTCCTTAAATAACAACAATGTTCTACGCTCAATTCGTCCTCTCGAAAAAGGGCCCACTAGCAAAGATTTGGCTTGCCGCTCATTGGGAGAAAAAGCTATCAAAGGCGCAAATCTATGAGACGAATGTACAAGATGCCGTTGATGAGATCATTAAACCAAAGGTTGGGGAAAGAATTTTCGAAATGCTAAATTAGCTTTTAGCTCTGTATTTAAAATCACAATTCAAAGGGTTATCACAATCAAATTTCAATTGCAATCTTTATTGCCATTTTTATTGGGGGGTAGTCAAAACAGCGCCGTCAAATTTCTCACAATCCAAAAAACCAAGCCGGCTCAAGTTTTATATCAAAAAATTCCTTGCGTTCTTGGCTACATGATGGATGAAACAGTTTTTAAAAAAAGTTAATATTTCATAGATAAAAAGAGCACTTAAAATGGGTCTATCCCAAAACAGCGCCACCCAAAATAGCGCCGTACCCAAAACAGCGCCAATGAAAAACGCCCAAAACAGCGCCGATGCAAAACAAAGTTTTTTTTTTCTTTTACAATGTACACTCATTTTTTTTATTAGCAGCTTTTAATTTTGATAATTTATTTAAAAATAACATGACCAACAACAATAAACGATAACAATTAAACGATGCATAAAAAACCATTAAAATAGCATGAAATTAATAGTCCAAGAGACTCTGAAACATCATAACACTAGCGATGATGAACATAAACGGTTAGAGCTTTCAAGTGATCCGTAGTAGAAATAAAAAGTTAGTGAAAATGTTAAAAAACAGGCCGTAAAAGGAAAAAAAATTGTTATTTTTGGTTTAAAGTCAATTTTATAAACGCTATCGCAGGTTTCTATGCGTAAAGCTTTAAAAAAAAAAATCGGATTCTCCGCCTTTTTTTTTACCCTAAAAACACAAAAAGTGGACAGAAAAAGTTAAAAACACCAAAGAAAAAGCAAAAGCAAAAATCTATAAAATAATTTTTTTGCTCGTCGCTGTTTTGGGCGTCGAGTGATACTCAGTTGGTTAACTGAATATCTTTAGAGGCCCATTTTGAGTGCTCTTTTTATCTATGAAATATTAACTTTTTTTGAAAAAACTGTTTCACCCATCATGTAGCCAAGAACGCAAGGAATTTTTTGATATAAAACTTGAGCCGCCTTGGTTTTTTGGATTGTGAGAAATTTTTGACGGCGCTGTTTTGACTACCCCCCTTTTTATTAGCCTATCTGCCATTGATCAGATGTTTAAAAAACAAACTAAACATTGTCAATAAAACTTCAAATTCGATAATAACTCTTAAATCTTGTGTCTCAGGTCAATGAACTTTTGAGGGTAAACGTGGAAATTCCAGAGCAAAATGGCGTTACGAACCACCGGACATCTCCTATTGGGAATCGTGAGAATCTACTCACGCAAAGCGAAATATCTGCTAGCCGATTGCAATGAGGCTTTTCTGAAGATCAAAGTAACATTGCTGAGATTTGATCTTTGAAGACTCAAAAATTTCTAGATGGCTTTCCGTCCTGGCATCACCACCGAGTCGTTTGAAGATGGTGGTGATATGATGAGTGCTCCGGCTATTCAACTACCAGAGGTATCAAAACAGAACAAATACATATAATTAGCTAAAAGATGGACAATGCAAGAGCTTATCTTTAGAAAAAACCGATCAACCTAAAAGATCTGTATTAGATCTAAAAGATTAGATCTCGCAAGAGAAAAATCTGTGAAAGATTCAAGCACGCCAGAAAGAGTGTGCATTTTTCTGAGCCTAACTTGAAGCAAAATAGGCTAACTTAAGCAAATAGGCTATCTTAAGCAAAATAGGCTATAGATTGTGAAAGATTAAATATCCTTGAAATTCTAAACTATTGGGTTGGTGAATCGAAAACAGCGGGCTATTGTCATATGTCAGAGTTTGAGCACTTTCTTCAAAAGAAACCCATTTTGGTGTCAATGGAAAAGTTGTAGAGAATCAAAAATCAAGCTTATATACAAATTTTCAGAACGATTCAAAAACTGGTTTTCAAGAAATGCCAAATTTACGAATTTTCACAAGACTTGCAACAAAACTTGCATTTTAAGCGAAACTACTAAGTGTATCTTTTTGGAAATTTGTCTATAAGCCTAATTTTTGATTCTCTACAACTTTTTTATTGACACCAAAATGGGTTTCTTTTGAAGAAAGTGCTCAAATGCTCAAACTGGGACATCTCCAGTCCTCCATTTTTGAGTCTCACACTTGTCTCACACACTTGTACTGGGAGTTGCCGGATAGCAAGACGACCGTTAATGCAATCAAATACAGTGGACAGTTGGGGAAGGTGAATGAATCCCTGAAGAAGAATAGGCCCTCCAAGTCAAAGATCGTTCTCATCCACGACAACGCGCTGGCCTTCATGTTGCAAAACTGACTCGCTCTAAAATAAATAGCCTTGTCTGGGAACTTTTGACGCATTCCCCATACAGTCCGGACCTCGCCCCTTTTGATTACTATTGATTCCGGATCATGAGTAGCTTGCGGGAGAACACTTCGATCCGGAAGAAGCAGTCAAAAATTGGCTTTGAAAGTTTTTCGATTCAAAACCAAAATCCTACTACGAAAGAGGAATCCGCAAATTGCCTGTAAAATGGGCAGAAATCGTCAATAATAATGGAAATTATTTGGAATGAATTGATGGTTTTATGTTGAATAAATTTTAGTTCAAAGTCTCGCAGTTTTCAATTCACCAACCCAATATATATATTTTTAGGTTTATGCCGACTTTGACTCGGCTCTTCCTGATTTCAATGATGTCGACCTTCAACAACAACTCCATATCAATCAAAGTCGAATCGATGACATCACTTTGAAAGAAGATCTTGCGACTGATTCGAATGCTTTTGGAAATGATTTTATGGTATTGTAATCGAAATTTTACAACATTTTCAATGGATTCAATGGATTCAATTCAGATGGATGATTTCGGAGAGTCAAAACTCGGTGCAGGGGTAAACTTCGACTTTGATGATAACTTTGGAATGATGGCACCTGGAGAGGATTTCGAACAGATCAGAGATTTCGGAAACAACACAACTAACAAGTCACGGTAAGTGAGAAATTGATTAAAAGTAAAACTCAAATCCATTTTAGTGACATTCGTGAGCCAACTCCAAGCCTCGAAGGAGCAAGGGCTCCTGGCGCAAACATTTTCGACGATGATGACATGGGAGGAGTTGATGATTTCGATGATGTCGATGAGAACAGTTAGTTTGCTTGAATTTGGATTGCTTTGGATTTCTATTGAGTTGATTAGTATAGTAGAAACAAACCCTTTCTAGTGCATTCAAACCTTCACTTTTCACGTAGCAGAATTGCGTTTTCATGAGAAAAGCAAAGAATCGCGTTTGCTAGAAGAGAAGTGTTTACATAAATGTGCACAAAGTACAGTTCTAACGTGTACAAAGTACAGTTCTAACGTGTCCAAAGTACAGTTCTAACGGTAAGTTTAATGACAAAGTACAGGTCTAATGTGTACAAAGTACAGTTCTAACGGGTACAGTTCTAACGTGTACAAAGTACAGTTCTAACGTGCACAGTTCTATAGAAACGTATTCTTTTTCAAAACACATTGAAGACGTTAAACTTTCATTGAGCATTGAGCATTTCATTTCATTTCATTGAGCATTCAACATTCATCAATTTAGTGAGCCTTTTCAATGAGCCACGTGAAATGGACATGGATGCACCAGGCGCTGATTTAGCCTCAGAAGATGGACTTCATCCCCAGCACAGTGATCTTGGTAAGTTCAAGAAGTTGATGACAATAGATTAATTCTGTTAATACGTCTGTTTCCTTGATATCCTTGATATTGATGCGAAAATTTGAGTAGATTGATTTAACAATTTGAGAGACAAAATTGATTTAACAATTTATTCGTTTTTTTTGATTTTGAGCAATCCTTTTCCAAAAAAAACGAATTTTGACAATCCTTTTCAAGTTCGACAACGAATTTTGGCCAAAGAGAGAAAAAAATGCTGTGAAATAGACAAATAGGGGTACGATAAGAGGTCTGCACTTTAGGAAACTCTCTTAAGTTAACAAATAAATAATCGGGAGCTGATCAAAACAGCGCCACGAGAAAAATAGCCCCTTCGCGGTGAAGTTTCTATGTGTTTCTTATTCTTATTGAAGGCAGAATAAAATTCTCTACATTTTGGATACTTTTCGATCAATTAAAACCGAATTGACGTAAAATTAGTGTAAAACAGAACAAAAAGCTCAGTGAACCTCTTTGTTTGAATCCTTTTTCGTTTCTTTTTCGTTTCTTTATCGTTTTCTGATCGCAGGTTTGTTCTAAAAAATTCAGCAGATAGCTAATTTTTCTACATCCAATAAAAATAAGAAACACAAATAAACTTAACGGAAAGCGCATTATTTTGGCGTTGTTTGTACATGATTTAATGTGGGAAATGATTAAAAAGAACAAGAACAAGGGCAAGGACAAGGGCAAGGACAAGAACTAGAACTAGAACTAGAACATGGAGATGGACAAGGACAAGAACTAGAACTAGAACTAGAACTAGAACAAGAACATGGACATGGACAAGAACAAGAACAAGAACTAGAACTAGAACTAGAACTAGAACTAGAACTAGAACTAGAACGTAGAACTAGAACAAGAACAAGAACATGGACATGGACAAGAACTAGAACTAAGAACAAGAACTAGAACTAGAACTAGAACAAGAACATGGACAAGAACTAGAACTAGAATAAGAACAAGAACAAGAACTAGAACAAGAACTGGACAAGAACTAGAATAAGAACAAGAACTAGAACTAGAACTAGAACAAGAACATGGACAAGAACTAGAACTAGAACTAGAACTAGAACAAGAACATGGACATGGACAAGAACAAGAACAAGAACAAGAACTAGAACTAGAACTAGAACTAGAACTAGAACTAGAACTAGAACTAGAACAAGAACAAGAACAAGGACAAGAACAATAACTATTATACTCCCAACAAATTCTATCATAAAATCCCAACTTTTGGTACAATTAGGTTAGCTAGGCGACGATGTGATTAAAAAATTGGAATCTAAAATTAGCATATAACAATTCGGAAGATCGCGAAACCGCATGGTCGAAATGAATGCGCCAACGAACAATTTCTCATGAAGAATGCAATAAATGCAAATTTACTTTCATTAAGCTTTCACAGATCCAAATCTGTCACAAGTGTTATATTTCTTTGGTCGCCTAGCTAATTGTACCCAACTTTTTAGTATCGGAAGCGGGAACAGAGACCTATCCACTTGGTCCATTGGAGACTGCCTCGATCACTTCAGAGGTTCGCCGTGTCGGTCGTCCACGCAAGCGCAGACTTGTCATCGATGAGCCGAAAAATATCAGGTAAGAAAAATTCTACTTGATACTGTTTTTGAGTTGAATTGTGAACAACAACAAGAATTATATTCTCAACAAATCAACAAATCCACATAAAACCCCACTTTTGATAATATTCTATTGTACATTCTATTGTACATTCTATTGTACATTCTATTGTACATTCTATTGTACATTCTATTGTACATTCTATTGTACATTCTATTGTACATTCTATTGTACATTCTATTGTACATTCTATTGTACATTCTATTGTACATTCTATTGTACATTCTATTGTACATTCTATTGTACATTCTATCCAATCTGTACGATTTCAGAGCAGAAAGTAGAATAAAAACTCTGAATTTGCAAAGTTAAAGGGTATTTTTCTTGGTTGGATTGGGTTTTTGTCAGTTTTTCTTTCGATGAGATCTTGTGCGGGATTAGAGTGTTGAGCTTCTGCAAAAGCTTCGAAATCGTAAAATAGTTACCAACTCGGCTCAGCGCGGTGCACTACTATTAGGGAAAATACGATATTTTATACTCGTTTTCCTCCACTTCATTGTCGCAATTGTCGGCCAGGCCAGGCTAAGGAACAAGTCGAGCATTAGGCCAGGTTAAGCTAGGAACAAGGACAGGATTCGGCCAGGCTAAATCATCTAATCTGCGCTTTTATTAGTGCACTGTCATTGTCGAAAAACGATGTGAGCAAATTTACGGATAAGGCATAAAAATAGCAAAACAATCAGTGCTTGTCTGGTTTATGTTCATTTAAAACTATTTATTCCACATTATATTCTATATTCTTTTCAAGTAAACTCACCGATTTCCGCTTTAACTCCAAAAGAAAAACCAAGCTTATTCGACATTTTCAACAGGCTAGGTTTATAGGCGATCAGAAACTGTGCCCAGAGTTTCATAACGTTGAATGGTTCGAGAAACGAGGCTTCTGGGGACATGAAATGGAGCTCATAACATAATACGACGTTGTTGCGGTAATTCTTGGTCACCCTGTATAGTCAAAGGGAAATCCAGCCTCACCTCAACCCGGCTCAAATCTCCATACTCGATTTGACAGGCCTGCAAACGTTTGGGAAATGCGTTGACTCGAGCCGATTGGTTAGGGTTTAATCTTAGATGATCGCGCACTTTCTTGACATTAGCCGGAGTAACCGCTGTTCGTTTTGCACCTCTTCCAGGGCGAACAGATCCCTAGATCGATCAGAAACTGTGCCCAGAGTTTCATAACGTTGAATGGTTCGAGAAACGAGGCTTCTGGGGACATTCAGGCGCTTTGAGATCTCGCTCGCCTGAACACGCTGCCGCTTGAGTTCGATTGTCTTGAGCTGAGGTCGATTGTCGATGTCGATCGATGTGGAGACGCTTTCACCATTCCTGAAAACAACGATACTAATGTATTGAAAGTTAGTTAATCATACCATAAAATAAGAAAAATACACCAAAAACCATAAAAACAGGTAAGCAAAAAGTGAAATGGGGCTCATAACATAGTACGACGTTGTTGCGGTAATTCTTGGTCACCCTGTATAAAGCCGATCCATTTGGATCTTCATTTTTCCAATCATATTCTATTTTATTCTATTTTATTCTATTTTATAAAGATTTTCACCTTTTTAGTGGCGACGAAATGAAATCCCAAATGGCTAATTATGCGGACACACTTCAACCTCTTGACTTGGCTCCACCAACAAGGAAACTGATGAAATTGCGGTAAATGTTAATCTAGAAACTAGAAACTAGAAGCAAAAACCAAAAATTTGAAGCTTATTTAAAATTTGAAGCGTTTATAAGCTTTATAAGCTTAAAGCCTATAAAATTTCATGGATTTTAGTGAATGCGGAAATGTGGAAAAACTCTTTCATTTGCCTGGAAATGATGTGCTCCGCGCTAAGGCCCTCGTCAAGGTAAAAGCCGAAAACTACAGTAAAACTTAGCCTTACCTTTTAAGCCTTAGAAGTTTTTAAAATCGTTTTATTTTTCAGTTCTACCAAAGCAGCTTGTTGCCAAATGTGAAAGGACAAGAAGTTGCCGAGAATCTTCGCAAAGAGCTCGAGATGTCTGAAACGGTTGAAGACTCGGATATTGGAAGTCAGACTGTGGTGAGTGATTGAGAATTTGAAAAGATTAGCTAGAAATTAGTTAGAAAAGACTAGATATAGCTCAAAAGATCAAAAGGGCTACAAAGATCAAAGAACAAAGCCATTTTGCAATAAAAACTTGTCCATTCTTTAAATAGAATCAAATAGAATCGTTGAATACTAGATTCGAAGGTTTTACTAAGTTTTATGAGGTTTTAAACCTTTCCAATAATCTTCTAAAAGCTATTATGTTAAGCTAAAGATGTTATAATGTAGCTAAAAGCTTATAGAAGCTAAAAGCTTATAAAAGCTAAAAGCTTATAAAAGCTAAAAGCTTATATTTGGTTGTCCAGTTATGAATGCGCGTTTTTTACTATTTTGTAAATTTCTCAAGATATCGAAATCAAGAAAAAGATATATACGAGTATTATTCGAAAGCTGAAGATCTCCTCTACATTTTAATATAAAAAGTTTTTGAATTTGTCCAGCTTGTCCAGCAAATTTGTCCAGCAAAAACAGCTTGATAGACCATGTTGAAATCACCCGAATTGTAAGAGTAGGTCTCATTGATCCCGATGGCCAAAATGGAATCGTCTCTGAATAGGTAAAAATCAAACGAGCTATTTTCAGTCAACATTGGTTACTGTTTGGTTTTAAAGGTTGCAGTCAACAACGACTAAAAGAGGCTTTTAATTTAATCTTACTTCTTCTTTTAACTTAATCTTACTATCAGATTGTTAGCATTGTATGTACCAACTACTACTACCCACTCACAATTTCAAAATCGAGATCCGTTTTCACTGCACAGAAGAAGAGGTGGCCAAAAAATGGTGCCTTTGGGTGGATGGGGGCCTTTGGATCAAGTTTTGGCTCCGCTCAAATTGAGTTAACCGTTTGATGTTTGGTTAATAGATATATCAATACAACTCTTTTTAAAATATAACAATTTCAGAGCATCTTTTCTTTTCTTTTCTTTTCTGGGCGGTTATTTTACACCATAAAACTTGAGGAATAGCTAAGCTGGAATGGGTTTTTTCGAAAACGACCTCTCCCTTTGTGCAGTCGATTTCCCCAAAAAGTTGAATGAATTCAAAAACTTTTTGATTCCAAAATGTAGAGGAGATCTTCAGCTTTCGAATGATATCTAACACTCAAATAAATCTGTTCGATATCTTGAGAAATTTACAAAATAGTAATTCATAACTGGACAACCCAAAAGTTTTTTTTACCCACCCCTTTCACAACTCTCTGCAAATCTTCAAGTTATGAAAAGCTCTTGAAAGATGGGATGAATCATGAGCGGACAAGTAATGCCAGAGAATAGTTCTTTCTTTTGCCACAAAACTCTCTTTGCGTCTAGTTTTTATCGACTGATCGGTGGCGCGTGTCATCGACATTCCCTTGGGTGTCCCGATTTGGGAACAAAGGAGAATTTATCAATCATCAAGCGCAGAAATCGTTCTTTTTACCATGGTCTCATTTGGGTAAAACAAAACACCGACAAATGCTCAAACTAAACTAAAGCTAAAAATGCCAGAGAAAAAATAAACATGCCACATCAAAACATGTCAACATCAGTCTTCTAGTATCAGTCCTCTAGTATCAGTCTTCTAGTATCAGTCTTCTAGTATCAGTCTTCTAGTATCAGTCTTCTAGTATCAGTCTTCTAATATCAGTCTTCTAGTATCAGTCTTCTAGTATCAGTCCTCTAGTATCAGTCTTCTAGTATCAGTCTTCTAATATCAGTCTTCTAGTATCAGTCTTCTAGTATCAGTCTTCTAGTATCAGTCTTCTAGTATCAGTCTTCTAGTATCAGTCTTCTAGTATCAGTCTTCTAGTACTTGAGCAATTCGATTTTTACACCTGCACTCATTTTGCACTCATTTTTTGCACTCATTTTTTTTTACAAGTAATTTCTTGGAGTCGACTTGTAAATAAGAGAACAAAATGTTCTCCTACTTGAACTCCATAGAGCTCCGGTCATCCAGCAGTTAACCACAGGCGTTATCGTTAGCTTTAGCATTAGCTTTCTTCTTTCTTTCCAACCTAATAATATAATTCTAAATTTATAATACAATCCTAGATTTATAATACAATCAACTCTCTCTATAACAGAATAAAAGGGACCAAAAAATGTTTCCATTCTTTTAGAGTGCTATTTCATATAGCTTAGCGTCAGCCGGGACCAAAATTCCATTCCGTTATATAGAGTTTTCCGCTATATAGAGTTAGCTATATAGAGTTAACCAAGTTTAGAGAAATAAGGAAGCAAGTTTCAAATTTAGAGAGATAAGGAACCAAATTCAGAGAGATAAGGAACCAAATTCAGAGAAATAATAAAGAACCAGGCTTAGAGAAATAAGGAACCAAATTCCTAGAGATAAGGAACCAAATTTAGAGAGATAAAGAACCAAATTTAGAGAGATAAAGAACTAAATTCAGAGAGATAAGAAACCAAATTCCTAGAGATAAGGAACCAAATTTAGAGAGATAAGGAACCAAAGTTCCGTTATAGAGAAAGAGAGTCGACTGTACAATTCTGTATACAAATCCTGTACAAATTAATTGACAAAGACAACACATGTACAAATGACTATTTAAAGCCGGTCCCCAAATATCTTCTCTCACCAAATCTTGACCATCAATGTTCGACCGCTCTCTCCTCTATCCATCTTTCTTCTCCTCTTTCCATCTTTCTTCTCCTCTTTCCATCTTTCTTCTTCTCTATCCATCTTTCTTCTCCTTTTCCCCTTTTCCCCATTTGGTCATCACATCTTTATTTCCCAAAATGTGTATTGAGGATCGGCGGTTACACAAGGCGAACAATGTGTTTTGTTTACCGTTTGATATCGAGAAGAATCGTCGATCTGTGGAAAGAAGAATAAAGGATAAAGAGGGGAAGAAGGGCCATGTTTGTGCCTCGACACATTGCCCCCGATGACCCGATGTTAGAGTAAACTTACTCTCGAACACTTGTCGATGATCTGAGGACCAAAGAGTTCCCTTATTAGTGGCACAGGATAGAAAAATGATTGTTTAAAGGACTGTACTGTTTCAAGTACTAGTATTGTAAAGAAGTGTACTTTAGTCGCTTTCTACAAAGTGCCAAGATTCGATAGCTACCGTAATCTTGTTGTAATGATGAATGAGTTCTTGTCAGTTTTCAATAGCTACCGTAGTCTTGTCTCGTTTAATCTTTGACCTGTCTCTTTAATCTTTGACTTTTTGACTGACTGATTTTTGACTTTTTCTTGGCTTTTAACAAAATCTCAAATCAAACCAAATTTCTTGATCAATCAAATCAAAAATAAACTCAATCTCTCAACTAAAATCTATTCTAAAACATTCTAAAACATTCTAAAACAACTTTTAAAACCTACCGTAATCTTGGCTACAATCTTTCTACTTTTTATACTACAATCTTATAATTCTATGCAGAATCAGATTAAAACTAAAAGCTAGCAACTTTCGAAAGATAACACGCTTTAGAAAACGGGGAGAAAAACGATAACTATTGGGTTGGGGAATTGAAAACTGCGGGACTTTGAACTGAACTTTTGGTTACTATTAGGTTGTAAACTAAGCCTTGACCCTTTCTTAAATTGCTAATATCTCAGCGTAGAATCAATACATTTGAATGAAATTTTAAACGGATTATTCTCAAAGAATTACAAGTTTAATGCCATAATTATAAAGTGATTCGGCGATTAGCGACCAAGTTATAAAAAAAACCCCTTTTTGGCCTTAACTGAAAGATATTTAGCTAGAAATTCAGCTCAATTTTTTTAAAATGAATGTTCCCAAAACTTTTGTGTAATTCATTTAATAAAAACTTAAGCAGAATAACGTAGTAGTTTTCCTTAAATATTGGGTTTACAGCTGATTTGAGTTTGAGCTATTGATTTGTGAATCAAAATAGAGAGGAAACACTTTGATGTAGTCCTAATTGCTAATTGCTAACTACAACATTTGTAGTTAGCAAATAGCAATTAAGAAAACCACACTTTTAGAACAACCACAACGATTGGGTTGGGGAATTGAAAACTGTGGGACTTTGAACTAAAATTTATTCAACATAAAATCATCAATTCATTCCAAATAATTTCCATTATTATTGACGACTTCTGCCCATTTTACAGGCAATTTGCGGATTCCTCTTTCGTAGTAGGATTTTGGTTTGTGTGTGAGACAAGTGTGAGACTCAAAAATGGAGGACTGGAGAGGAGGATGGAGGACTCCCAGTTTGAGCACTTTCTTCAAAAGAAACCCATTTTGATGTCAATAGAACAGTTGTAGAGAATCAAAAATTAGGCTTATAGCCAAATTTCCAAAAAGATACACTTAGTAGTTTCGCTTAAAATGCAAGTTTTGTTGCAAGTTTTGTGAAAATTCGTAAATTTCGCATTTCTTGAAAACCAGTTTTTGAATCGTTCTGAAAATTCGGATATAAGCTTGATTTTTGATTCTCTACAACTTTTCCATTGACACCAAAATGGGTTTCTTTTGAAGAAAGTGCTCAAACTGTCACATATGACAATAGCCCGCAGTTTTCGATCCACCAACCTAATAGATTGAGATTAGCCCTGAGGAGAAGGAGAAGTCAATTTGAGGAGAAGTCAATGTCCAATTTGAGGATTCGGAACCGGCCGAACTAGTTTCGGAAAAGGAGAGGGAAGGGGGTTATGTAAAAGCCCTGCGCCAGACGACGAGCGATTACGCGGTCGCACAAAGAACACACAGAACACACAAATTTTAAGCCAAACTACTAAGTGGAATTTGGATATAAGCTTAATTTTTGACTCTCTACAACTTTTCCATTGACACCAGAATGGGTTTCTTTTGAAGAAAGTGCTCAAACTGTCACATATGACAATAGCCCGCAGTTTTCAATTCACCAACCCAATAATTAAGTAAAAAGCTCAAGTCAAGCTTGCAAAATCTTCCATTATTCTCCAGTTTCCCACTTTCAAACAAATTCCCTCGATCCCTTAACTAATTTTTCTTTTTTTAAATTCATAACT